TTCAACTTTAAAATTAACATCACTCAGGAAACATAAATGAAAACTAAAGACATGGTTAGCTTCAGGGCAATGATGTCTACATTTTTCATTCACAAAGTAACCATTAATAATGCTTGTAGAGAGAGTTCAAAATTGAAAAAACTTACCTCAAAACTGGAAATCGTGTATGGAGTTTGAGCACCCCTGGAAGTGTGGTGATGGTCTGGATAGCTTCACTGGACTCCTAGGAAGCTAATGCAACTCTTACTTTATGCTGAAAGTGCCTGAATCGTGCTGCAGAAGTCAAGTTGCAGGTTTAAATATTTGGAAATGGAGGATGATGAAGATGAAGTTACAGATGAAACATAGATGGTGATGAGTTATATATAAGGTATGGAAGCTTTGTGATTGATTAAAAGTGAAAACGCACGAGTGGATTGTGAGATTGGTGTTCAAAGTCAGAAATGACAAGTTGAGGAGGTTTTTGTGCAAATTCTGGTTTGAGTGAGTATGAGAGTGTTTCAAGGCTTGTTAACTCCTGTATTAGATTGCAAACAAACTCTCTATTTATAGAGAAAAGATTGTAGAGGCTCTAGTGATCAGAAATCAAAGATCACATGTTATGGTTATGTGACTTGATTTTGAAGCAACTTTGACAAACATTGTTCCAATGCAATGATACAAGGGCTTGTAGGGTGGATAGAGAATTTAAACATGTTGCTTCTGAGCATACATGTTGAGTGTGATCAGAATAAAAAAGTTAGAGGCTCAAGACAAGTTGACTTTGTGATAAAGTTTGTTTTTCAAGAATGGCAATGGTGCCTTTCTTCCAAAAATAGAAAATTGCTTTGGACAATGACTTAATCACTTGGATCATACCTCAATCAATTGTGTAAACAATTAATTATGGAGTGATTTACAATTTAGAAGCCTACAAAGCAAGATTATGCAGCATAGGTTTGAGATTTGATCAAGTGTTCTTTATGAAAATGCCTTGTAATTCAAGAATGGAAGTTCGACTTCTTCTCTTCGATTCTCCTTGATCAAGCATGATCTATTCAAGTTCTTAGACATTTTTGAAAGCTTTGAACATTTTCTATAACTTTCATGTTGACCACTTTGGATAAATCATCTTGGAAATTGGTGAAAAAATGTCAAGTTGGGACAAAAAAATCTGCCTAACTTGATGAAAATTTTACTAAGTGTTTATACAAAAATGTCATAACTTCATGAGCCTATATCTTCAAATCCAAACATTTTTTGGACATCACCCCTAAGGGACAAAGTCGTATAATTCATCGAGACCTGCAACTTTCATGTTGAAAGTTTTCCTTGAATCATCTTGCATCTTGGTGAAAAGTTGTCATGAAGTAGTGAAATTATCAAGGTTAAAAAACACTTAGAATTTTTCTAAGTCTTTGAAATCTTGACTTTTCTTGACTTTCTTGATTATTGATGATCAAGTTTGATATTTTTTAATGTCTTGATGAATATTGATCTTTGAAATTTAATGTTGACCAAAAAGTCAAAGATTGACTTTTGGTGTGTCGGTTGACTTTTTATGAGTTGATCCAAATTTTCAACTATCAATCTTTTGATCTTGAGAAATGATTTGAGATATGAAAATAGATCAACATGTTGTGTTTGAGTACTTAAGATCATGCTTCAATTCATTAGGTCATGTACTAGGTCAAAAGTCAATGATCAGACATTCTCAGTCAAAATCCTAATTTTGACAATTTTGCCCCTTTGATGATTTGAGTGCTTTGCTTGAGGAATTATGATAAACTCTTGATAAATTGATGAATATGACTTAAAAATGTGGATGTTAGCCAAAATTTATGAAGTTTGTCTGTATATTGATCACAATTGACTTTTTATCCAATATAGTTGATTTTTAGTCATCTGAGCAATTAACTGAGGAAATGTGTAGTGCAAGACTTAAAACTTGGTAATAGTAATCTTGGAGACCTATAATGAACCATGAAAGTTATTTGAAGCATCAAAAGTCCAATTGTCCTTGAGAAAACTAAAAATCCTAATTTTGGACTCAATGCTTAGGAGGTGAGCTTGTCCGATCAAACTCTTAAGAACCCTTGAGCATTTGGGATCTTAAGTGAGAAATGAGAGGGCAAATTTTGGGGTACAACAATGGCTTCCAAATTATTTTCCCCTGGGTATTCGTATTGTCAAACACGTTGAAGGACTTCGGTTGCGTCCTGGTTTCTATTGACCATTACTACCCTTGGGGATTGAACCTCGCTTGGTATGGCTTGTTCGACCCTGGTTGTTCGATTCTTGGCCCTTGATTAACTTTGCCAACATTTTGTGTAATTGGTTGCGCTTGATTAACTATTTGATTTTCTTTGAAAACCACTCCCTGGTTTTCTCTTATCCACTCTGGACGGGGATGTTGAACTGGGGCTCGAGGGGCACCAAATAAATTTGTAATTTCCGCTGCCAATTGTTGATTTGTTTGTGTATTTTGCTTATTTGTTTGGGTATTACTTTGAATCAAAGGGTTAAAGATGGCACCCACTTATTAGGCTAAAACACCAACCATCTCGTGGTTACTGTCATCCATTTGTTGTCTAAATACCGATGTAGAATTTGTTGTCATGGTAGGTAGTTGGGTAACGAATCCTGGGGATAGGACTATTCGACTCATATTATTGACACCTGATCCTGATCCTTGCAGTGATGAAAAAGTAGACACTCTTGAATCAGGCAATGTTAAAGTACTATTGTTTAAACTTGCCATTACTGATGTTGGCATGTCATAAATCTGTTCACGGCCATCCATGGGCATTGTGAATCTAGACATGAAATGTCTAAAATTATTCGCCCCTGGTTTCCCTAGAGTCACTGGGGGACCATGTGTATATACTGAGGATAGAACTGGACCGTTATTACAATTTATTGATATTCCCATCGTACTCGCTTGAACGGGTATCGATTCAGTTGTAGATAACACAGTCGTACTTTCCCTTATCGAAGGGGGTGGTTGTTCTCTATTGTTATTGGATGGATTAACCATTTTCCTAGTATATTTTCTTTTTGGTATTGGTTCGTTAGTTTTGGCTAATTTTTCACTCCTTAATCTCATACAACAATGTCAAACAAATAGACTGAAACGAAAGACAATACAACACACACAAAAATTATGACACAAACTTAGACACTGGTCCCACTAGGTGTGTCAATTTGTTTATCGTGAAATTTAGTAAACAATTATTGGTCTTTCAAAACAAAGATAATTTTGGTTACTCACATGATCGACTAGATTGATCCTAGAACATGTGTCTAGTTTTTTGTGTTTTCTAATGTTTCTAGGTATCTATCAAAGAAATAATTATAACGAAAGTGAAGATAAAAAGTTTTAAAATAAGGATAAAAAGGGTTTAAGATAAAGACTTGAATGTATTTGAACTTCGACTTAAACTTAAATGAAATGTAAAAGACTTTATTAAAAAATAAACAACATTGAATGAAAAAAAACTGGTGTTTCATACGTACATTCTCAGCAACTCGTTTCTCTAACACTTGGTATTTTTAGTTTATTTGAGTAATTTGTACAAAAGTGAACACCCTAAAATCCTAACACTAAGACTATAATTTATGTTAGTTCGACCATAACGGTCTTTCTCTAGAAGAATGCCACGTTCGATGTTTTGCATGTTCTTCGAATCTTCAGACTTCCACGCGTCCTTTTGGATAAGATCAACCATTTGAATTCAAAATCTTCTTCCTTTGGAAGCGCCAAAACCAACAACGTGACTTTGTCGAAATATTCTTCGTTGAAACTTCAAATAACTTAAGTCTCATTTATTCATAAAAAATAGGACTTTTCGCCAATATTTAACAAAATTAGACTATCAATGAGCTTGTCAGTCAAAATCTTAATGAAACATTCTCGTATTTCTTTTTAGAACTAAACCTTCTTCAACATTCTTCATCTTACTTTATTATTCCTATGTCATCGAAATTTTCAGCTAACACTTGTGAAATTATGTCGATGGTTGAAGAGCTTTCTGTCAACATGAAAATTGCACCATAAAGTTTCAATCTGGTTTTCATGCGAAAATTCTTGAAGTGGTTTAGCTTCAAGTGAAGTATATTCTTCTTTAGGTGGAGTATGATAGTTTTTAAAATTATGATTGTCGGTAAAGACAATGTGAAAATTCTTGAAGTGATGTAGCTTCAAGTGACTATACTCTTTTTGGTGAAGTATGATTGTCGGTGAAGACAATGAAAGTTAATGTATTATTTGAATCAAGATGGAGATTGTTGAGATTAGTTGAAAATATATATGTTGAAGAAATCTCACATCGTTTAGTTTTGTGAAAAAAGATGCAGATCAAGAATATAAATATATATATATATATATATATATATATATATATATATATATATATATATATATATATATATATATATATATATATATATATATATATATATATATATATATATATATCTTTTAATGGAATGAATCAGATTTCAACTCTCTCATTACAATACTAAATTTAATTCAAAAATCACACATGATAAAATAACAAAACATTGAATATTCCCCCACAAACAAATCCTGTAATGCCTTACCTGGTGAAGAAAGCAAAAAGCCATACGCAAAAGAACAAACAAACTGTTAGTTAGTAATAATAGCACTACATAAATGGACCCCACTTTGAATATTTAAATAAACAAACAAATAGTAGTAATTTTTTAACAAAGATATTTTCCATTTTATAATCATAATAATAACAACCAAACTTCCCAAACAAAACAACTTATAATAAATAAATATCCAAAATTAAATTTAATTAATTAATTCGTTTACTTTTTTGAGAATAATAACAAAATTTTCTTAGGTAAGTACTTTCCACGATCTCTGGTATAGTAACCCTGAATATCCAATCACACACTCTTTTTCTGAAATCCACACGTTTTATTCAAAGCTTTTGCATAACAAAGTTTCATTTGGAGGTGAAAACGGTGCGTTTTGAATTGGGTGTGAAAAAATGAATGGAATTGGAAGTGGAAGGTTTAGTAATATGGAGATGGAATATATAAGAAGACATCACCGGCACCAGCCTGGAAACAATCAGTGTGGTTCTGCTCTTGTTAAGCATATAAGAGCACCGGTTCCTCAGGTTACCCTTCTTTTATTTTTAAATTATTTTTACGGTTTTGTTGAATTGAATTTTGTTACTTTATTCTCAAATGTATTGTTTAGGTTGTTAGATATTCTGTTATGGTTGTTAGATTTTCTGTTAGGGTTGTTATTTTCTGTTATGGTTGTTAGAAATTCTGTTAGGGTTGTTGGAATCTGTTTTTATTTTTCGTAGCTATAAAGATTACCTCATAAAATATTTGTCAAGGTTTAACTGAGACAAAATAGAGTCATATTTGATTCGCCAGACTTCGACCATAGTTAATTTACACCGTCTCTGAAAACTTAAGATGACTTTGTTCCTACTTGACCATGTTTTTTGTTTAATGCATTTGTAGAAGGAATTCTCTATGTGATGTTTATTTATGGTGCTTAGATTTGGTTTATATAGGTATGGTCTTTGGTTAGAAGGTTTGATCAGCCCCAAAAGTATAAACCATTTGTAAGCAGATGTGTTGTAAGGGGAAACCTTGAGATTGGAAGTTTACGAGAAGTTGATGTTAAGTCGGGCCTTCCGGCTACCACAAGTACAGAAAGGTTGGAGCTTCTTGATGACAATGAGCATGTTCTAAGCATCAAGATTATCGGCGGTGATCATAGGCTTACGGTATGAATATATATACTTTTCTGTTCTCTCTGTGTAACGATTTATAAGCATCGGGATTATTGGCGGTGATATGTTTTGTCTTTCAGAACTACTCGTCGGTGGTGTCTCTCCACCCGGAAATTATTGATGGAAGGCCGGGTACGCTAGTAATTGAATCTTTTGTGGTGGATATACCTGACGGAAACACTAAGGATGAGACTTGCTACTTTGTTGAAGCTGTTATTAAGTGCAATCTTAAATCACTTGCGGATGTCTCAGAAGGGATTGCTTTGCAAGACCGCACTGAACAAATTGATCGGATTTAGGATCTTAAAATAAGTTGTTGCGAAAGACATTGCTGCCACGGATGAAGCTTCAGCAGTTTTCCTTACGGAGGCCTAGGAGACGGACTGGCGATTGAGACGCTTCTTCCATAAGGGTGTTTCTTTCCATTTGCTATATTGATTATCCTTTGTTATATGTTGGTTTCTCTTTTCTGTAGTAAAAGAACAACAGTATTTGAGAGATGTGATTGGATCCAGTGCAGTAACAAGTGATAGATATCAGGTGCTCTTGATAATTTCTAAGGTTTTTGTTTTCACGGTTGTGCTCTTTATTGTATATAAACATGGTATGTAGATTTGTTTTTAATGGTCAGTCGAAGTTTTTAATTGCATAGTTGAAGTTAATTCTTGTAACAGAATTCTATAACTGCTTAGATTTTGGTGTTTTCTTTGCACATACTTCAGTACCTTTCTTTTTTCTTTATAGTTTTCGTGGGATGAAGTTTCACTATAGTGAGACCTAGAAAAGCTTTAGTGGACCTGGAATCACTGCTGACGATAATTTCGGTAGCAATTGCAAACAACCGATCTAAGTTGTTGAGTGGAAGACACTAAATCGCTAAGAACTCAAAATCTAAGGCGTTTGATCTTCATCAACAAATGAATTTATTGATTGCAGAGGCTGTGGAGATACGGAATGAATTTATTAGTTCAGCATTTGCACACTACGTATGGTTTGCATATTATATCACAATTTTATTAATTGTGTCAAGGGGATTAAGGGACTTGGTTCCTTTTTTCTTAGTACTGGTGTATTGTCGAGAAAGTAACTTACTATTATTTTTCTCCCATATGTCATTGTTGCTTTCGGATTTTGAAATATTTATTATCGAAGAAATTATCAGGTTGAGTCACTCAAAATTATGCAAAGCAGTCGAACTATCACGCCGCCTCTAGGATAAAACAACCTAGTTCTATATTGTACGATTACTACTTGTATGGTACATGATCATTCAAATATAGTATCAATACAACTTGTAGTATCTGGTAACTTCTCAAACAAAGAGAAATTCAAATAATTCTCCAAAGAAAATTTAATAATGGTTATTTGACCACTTATAATAATTTCTCCGACAAAGAAAAATTCAAATAATTCTCAAAAGAGAATCCAAAAAATTAATACTTGAAAATTTCTCAATTCAAATGAGGAGAAATTAACATAATTCTCTAAAGAGAATTCAAGAAAATACTCGGAAAATTCAACGAGTAGGAAGAAAGGGGAAGAAAATTGCGCTTCGACAATTCGAGGGACGCAAAGTTATGAGAGTGAGGAAGGAAAAACTAATAGAATAGTTTTTGGTGTAATTTAGAGTGAAACATGTGCACTCCTTATACAGTGAAGTAAGCTAGTTAATATTTTTCACATGAGCAATGTGGGACTAAATGGTTTTTTCAACCAAAAAGATATTCTAACAATGTGGGACTTGAGAAATTTTTAAATTCGACATATTGGAACATGGACATGTTCCAACAATCCCCCACTTGAATTTAAAAAATTGACTTTAGAAGTAACGTCAAACGTTTCTAAGATTGTGCATAAACAAAGGTTTCTACGACTTGAACCTTTGCGTAGCAAGTAGGATTTTGATTCAACAAGAGTGACACTATTGTCTTGAACTCTATCTCAGACATGAGACTCGCACACAACCTTTTCTTAGGTGTATTCTAATAGTTCGTGCTTTGATGCCCTTGCACATGTATCATAGTTTAATGAAGGCTCTAGGAATTCTGCCTCGCAATTTCATAGGAACCGACCCAAGTTCCACATACACAAAGGTGAGTCTATCAAGAGTACTCATGTAGCCTAGGTACTCCCTCATATAGAGTATAGATCTCATTAAGAGCTTTTATTATCTCATCATCTTATTACTTCAGGATTCATGTTTTACTTGCATGATCATCTCATATTACTCACAACTTGTTATTATCCATTGAACCTACTTCTTGGGATCTCCAGTCATCTAGGTCGGGTTACCATTATGAGCAACTCATTTCTTTATATGCATTAGTCCCATCTTCTTTGATGTATTATGGACTTTCTCTCTAGCTAATTATTTCGTCAAAGGATCTGCTAAGTTTTTATCAGTGCGTACATGATCCACTCTTACAGCTCCTTTAGAGATACAGTCTCTGACAGTGTTGTACTTTCTTCTTATTTGACGTCTTTTACCATTATAATAACGGTTCTCAATTTTTGCAATAGCCATGGTACTATCGCAGTGGATCAACACAGCTGGCATAGGTTTTTTCCATAGGGATCTCAGCTAGCAAGCATCTCAACCAACTTGCTTCTTCACTAGTTGTGGCTAGTGCTATCATCTCAGATTCCATTATGGGTTGAGCTAGGATAGTTTGTTTCTTTGATTTCCAAGATACATCTCCTCCAGTTATACTAAATATATAGCCACTAGTAGCTTTGGAATCATCTGACAAAGTATTCTAATCTGCATCATTGTACCCTTCTAGTACAGCAGGAAACTTCTAATAATGTAGGCCGAGATTCGTGATCCTTTTGAGGTACCTCATGACTCGTTCAATAGCTTGCCAGTGCTCTTTACTCGGTCTACTCGTAAACCTGCATAACAATCCTACGGCACATACAATGTCGGTCTAATACAATCAGTGGCGTACCTAAGACTGCCAATGATGCTCGCATATTCTGATTGTCTGACACTTTCTTCAGTGTTCTTAAACAATTTCACACTTGGATCATATGGTGTACATGCAGGTTTACAGTCAAAGTATTTATATTTCTTTAAGATCTTCTCCACATAGTGTGATTGATCTAAAGAAATTCTTTGTTCGGATCTCGTGATCTTGATGCCAAGGATCACACTTGCTTCTTCGAGGTCTTTCATATCAAAATTGTTGCACAACAATGATTTCATATCATTAATGGTCTGAATGTTTGATCCACATATGAGTAGATCGTCTACATAGAGACATATGATAGTGCATATGCGATTCTCAGATTTATAGTAAACGCATTTGTCACTTTCATTCACTTTGTACCCATTTGATATCATTAAGTTATCAAATTTTTCATGCCATTGCTTAGGAGCTTGTTTTAGTCCATACAAAGACTTATTTAACTTACAGACCTTGTTTTCTTGTCCATAGATCACAAACCCTTCTGGTTGTTCCATATAGAATTCATCTTCTAAGTCACCATTTAAAAAAATTATTTTAACATTCATTTGGTGTACTATTAAGTTATAAATAGCACCTATTGAAATAAGTACCCTAATAGATGTAATTCTAGTGACAGGAGAAAAGGTGTCGAAGAAATCTATATTTTCTCTTTGTCTAAAAACCCTTGGCAACAAGTTGAGTCTTGTATTTATTAATAGTTCCGACAGGTTTTAGTTTCTTTTTCAAAACTCATTTACAACCGATTGTTTTACAACCAGGAGGCAAGTCTACTAAGTGTCAGGTCTTGTTAGATTCTAGAGATTCTATCTCATCATTGATAGCTTTTTTCCATAAATCAGCATCCAGAGATGACAAGGCTTCTTGAAGATTCATTGAATCTTCTTCTACATTATAAGCCGCATAATCAGGCTCATAGTCTTTAGCAACTCTTACTCGTTTATTTTGTCGAAGTTCTGTTTCTATATTGTCGTTGCTTCCTGTGCTTCTTATCACAGGAATGTGACTCGATTGTGTGCCCCCACTATTTCTCAATTTGAAAGGAAATTTGTCTTCATAGAATTCAGCATCATTTGATTTTATGATCACTTTTGTCTTTAGGTCATAAAACCTATATGTTTTACTGTTTGCTGCATACCCAATGAAAACACATTCATATGCTCTACTAGCGAGTTTAACTCGTTTCGGATCCGGAATTTTGACATAAGCCAAATTGCCCCAAGTTCTCAAATAAGACATGTTTGGTTGTCTTTTCTTTAATATCTCATAAGGAGAGATCTTACATTTTGACTTGAGGACTCTATTCAGGACATAGAAAACATTCAATAAAATTTCCCCCACCAATGAGGTGCAGCACCAGAATTCATCATAATTGCAACAACAAGTTCAGTAAGAGTTCTATTCTTTCTTTCTGCTTTATCATTCATTTTAGGAGAATATGGAGCAGTATTTTCATGTACAATTCCATGTATAAAATTCATTAATAAACTAGAATCATACAATTTCTCTATCACTACAAATTCCTATTATATCATTTTTAAATTCTTTACAAAAATTTAAACATATAAACTTCATTCTTCGTAATGGCGTACAAATTTATCCCAATAGACTGACTAAATCCTATCTTATTTAAAAGAAAACCAGAAACAATATTCTTTCTAATCTTAGGAACATGCATAACGTTCTTTAAGATTAAAGTCTTTTTTAAGGTGAAATTTAGCTCCATGTCTACAATTCCAGCAACATTCGTGGTCTGGCCATCTCCCAACAACACTTTCTTACCTTTAGTATTCGTTATGTTTTAAACATAATACGATCATAACAGACACAACGAGAGACGCAGATGTCTATCCACCAACCAACATATCCATCAACCATGTTGATTTCAATGACTATAGTAATAAATTGCCCATTAGTCAGGTTGACATGTGCATTTGGGACAACACCAAGTTCAAGCTTACTTCTACATTTCTTAGTCATATGACTTGATTTTTCATAGTTAAAACAAAGGGAAACCAACTTCATTTCTTTTAGGTGGTGGTGGTTGCCTAGTTGGAGCTATTGGAATCATAGGAGGATTCTCATTCTTAATTGGGTTCACAATATTGCGGTTCTGATTCTTTAATCAATTGTCAAATGGCTTCGGAACTACACCGAATTTCTTTTTGTTGTTTGAAACAACCAAGACTTTTTCTTTTTGATATTGTCTCTAAGATTCCCTTTTTTTAAATCAGGGCGAATAATCAGATTCTCAATCAAGAATTCTTTTGTTTTGTGGCGAAGCAAAGTTTTTTTTAAAACATCCAAACTATGGGGTAGTTTGTCAATAATAATACCAATTTGAAATTGTTCATTTAAACACATACCTTTTGTGATGATCTTTTAAGCAATCTTTTGAAGTTCATAACGTTGAGCCTCCATCGACCTTATATCTTTGCATTTGATACTTGAAGTAGAGGCTAACAACATACTTCTTTGCACCTATTTCTTCAGTATCATATTTCTTCTGTAGAGTCTCCCGTACCTGTTAAGCAGTCTTGTAATAACTGTAGTAATCGTAGAGATCATCAGCAAGACTGTTCAAAATGTAATTTTTGCATAGGTAGTCATTCTCTTGTCATAGGGCGGTTTCTTTTGAGCTATAAGTTATCTGTCGCAGCTTTAGCAGTAGAGTCTAAGTCAGACGTTTTAGAAGTCCCGTCTGATTCCACAACTGTCTTACCATTACTTAGTTCATTTGATCCAGAAGGAGCAACAAGGATATCCTCAGTCAGAACGTGGGCAACCTTCTTTAAAATTAAGAAAAATTTCATCTGAGCTTGTCAACGTTTGAAATTGGAACCCTCAAACTTAAATAGTTTGTCAGAGACAGAAGCGGCCGCAGTAATAGCGATAATTTCCTCAGTAGCCATGGCAGTTAAGAATACGTCTTAAAATTATTGTTTTTGAATTTTGAAATATTTGCCACAGAAGAAATTACCAGGTTGAGTCACGGACTAGGTCGCTCTCTTTAAGACATTTCGCGACACTGCTCAAAATTATGCAAAGCAGTCGAACTACCGTGTCACCTTCAGAATAAAACAACTCAGTTCTATATTGTATGATTACTACTTGCATGGTAGATAATTGGTCTAGAAATACACAATCTGATAGTACATGACCATTCAAATATGGTATAAATATCACTCGTAATATCTGGTACAAAAACTAGTTGAAATAATTTCTGAAACAAAGAGAAATCTAAATAATTCTCCAAAGAAAATTTAATAATGATCATTTGACCACTCATAATAATTTCTCTAACAAAGAGAAATTCAAATAATTCTCAAACGAGAATCCAAAAAATTAATACTTGAAAATTTCTCAACTCAAATGAGGAGAAATTAACATAATTCTCTAAAGAGAATTCAAGAAAATACTCAGAAAATTCAATGAGTAAGAAGAAAGGGGAAGAAGATGACGCTAATTCGAGAGACACGGAATTATGATAGTGAGCAAGAAAAAACTAATAGAATAATTTTTTGTGTAATTTAGAATGAAACATGTGCATAAACTAGTTAATATTTCTCACATTAGCAATGTAGGACTAAATGATTTTTTTAACCAAAAAGATATTTCAACAATGTGGAACTTGAGAAATTTTTTAATTCAACATATTGAAACATGGACATGTTCAACCGTCATATTTCCAATAAATTAATATTTGTCAAAGCTATTTTATCTACTGCGTTTGTTTGAATTGGTTTATATTCTGTATTATTTTATGTTAATGTTAACTACATTAATCAATTAAGAACATGGAAAAATGAGAGTAAATTGACGACGAAGGACAATGAATGGCGGGAAGATGACACGTAGATATCATCATTAATTCGATATTATTTGATTTTTTTAAATTTCAAGTAATTTATACCAATATATAAAGTAATCTATAACAATAAATATATAAAGGCGTTTTCTACTATTTATATTCTTACTTTCAAGTAATTTAGATGATAACTTCCACAAAATTCACTACTACTTATTTTCATGTAACTACTCACTATTAACTTCACATGCTATGTTTTTTAAAAAATCAATATTAAATAAAAAATGTTTATATTTTCACATATAGTATGCTATTAAAAAAGCGGACTGATTGACAATGGTATTCTTAACATTGATCATCAATTGCAAATAACAATATATTTAAATACTTAAAGTGTTAGCTCAGTTGTTAGAATTTAGATTTGTAAGTTCAACGTACCGAATTCAAATGATTTCCAGATATTCATAAAATAATTGATGACATATTAATTAATAATTTTCTCCATGTTAATTTTTTTGCAATGTTTAAATTTTACTTTGTTTTAATTTGTCTAAAAAACGTTGTTGCCTTGTAGTCATCATTCATTGGTTTTTGATTGATTATAAAGTGTAATTTACTATGCTTATAGTGTGTTTAAATTAAACTCAATTGTAACATACTTTTTTGGTTAGCTTTTTTTATATTTTAATCGTTTAGATTTTATTTCCATAAATTTTTTTTAATATCATCAAATATTAGAGAGATTAAGTTAGATATGTACTCTCTTCAGTCACTATTATAAATAAAGATTCATTTTTTAGGTTCATTAAATAATTAATATATTTGATCTACATAAAAGTTAAATATATAAATTATTTAATAAATCTAAAAAGGGAATTTTTGTTTATAATAGTGACCAGAGACATAAGATTTCGTCAATTCTTTGTAATTTGTACCAAAAAAGAATATTTAAACAATAATTTATAATCAAATAAATTTTATTTCATATTTTCCAAAATTATACAAAACTTACCTTGACTGTATTTCAAAAGAACTTTTAGAATATAACAGTTATGTAAAAATATATTAAATGGTGTAAGAGTTTTTTTTTGGTCAAAATGCTACAAGTGTTTAAAGTATTATATCTACTTATGTTTTGAAGCAAAATAATTTTGGCAGCCTATGAGTGTGGTGCATTAGCTTTTGCCACTTACCTTCGGTGGCTAATGAACCAGCTTTTGACCTTCATGATTGATAATTTAACCTTGGTATTGATTGTCATATAATAGGAACCAAGCATCTTATTGCATCTTATTGCTTTCAACACTTTCAATGACAATTTAACCTTGCCAGCAGACACTTGGTCACAATCTCACAAGAAATTCTAAAAATAAAATGAAGAATGCATAGCTACTAAACACAATTGTCCAAATGTCCAATAAATATCTTTCTACAAATTACGCGGCTCTCTCCAAAAAAATATTGCCCTAGTATTCTAATAGTTGACTTTTGTAATCGATAGCAGGACTACTTGCTACAGAGATATTCAAACGTGTATAATTACTTCCTATGATAATCTAATGACACGAATTGCCCGGGCAACGGAGGGAAACTGCAGAATAAATTTGAAAAGTTACCTGTGGGACTTCAAGATATACTGTACAGAGCTTCCCTTATAATTAGAGTACAATAATAGACACAGGGTAGAGAGAAAGATTAAGATTAGACCAATACAAGATCTCCTTCTGCTTCTTCTTGTTCCTGTTGTTCTGGCAGTCTTCCTTCTCGATATGGGAGAAGTAATCGTCTGATTTCTTCTGAATTAAGTGTCTCGCACTCTAATAATGCATTTGCCAGCACATGTAATGCCTTCTCATGCTAACAACATGAAGAAAAAAACTAGTTATGATTATTTACATGTCGACATAGATATCAAATTTTGCTGCATAATACAAGATTGCCGACTTTTTTCAATGAATTTGTGCTTCTCAAAAAGTTGCTTTTGATTCTGATTTTCTTATTTCAATAATCCTACCCTAAATAGAAATGTGGATCATTTGGATTTGAAAACCAAACACACTTTCACCACAAAAACATGTTAGTGTCTACTAGTTGCTTGACTCACTGAACTAAAGAATTTAGTCAAACTGACTAGTGGGTTGAATAAGTCACAAGTTAGCATTTCGCATGTACATATTCTTTGTGGTACAAGACTTCTAAACAACTAATCATTACATTTTCGTTGTATGCATTCAAAGCACCATTGCATTACCTAAGACTCCCTAATCCTTAACCTCCAAATATTTTGCAATTTCTTTTCATTATATCAATGAAAGCAAGAGGTTTCTCTTTTTACACACAAAACATACAATAATATTCAACAAACCTTATTCAGAAGAGCTTTCACACGATCATATGCATCTCTAAGGAGTTTAACAACCTGCAGAACAGGAAAAGATCAGCTCCAACCATGAATTTAATTGTCAATATTATTAGAAGAGAAAATCAATTAATCCAAACATGATTTCAATTGTCAGAAATGTTAAAAGAAATTATAGATTTATAATACTTGCCTCTGCATCAATACGTGACTGCATTTCAGAACTTGGTCTCTCCTTTATATGAATTGGTCCGATTGTATCACTCATCCCACAACTTGAAACCTTGTGAAGATAAATTAAAATACAGCATACAAACGCAATGAATGTCAAGCTCATTTTGAAATGAAACGATTAGTAAAAACTTTCAGCAGAAACTAAGATGTGTCTGGAATTTCAGTTACTACTAATCGATATTCCAATTAACAATTGAACAACGACAAAAGGAACACAGAGAAAAAAATTGAATCAACTTTGTAGAGTACTAATAGATGCCACAACTGTACTTGCCACATAACAGGGGAGCAGAATATTACCATGTATTGGGCAAGCTCGGTAGCAGATTGAAGATCACTACTTGCTCCAGTTGTGACATTATCACGACCAAAGATAAGCTCTTCTGCAACTCTTCCTCCCATACAAACATCAAGACGAGCTAACAACTGCTTCTTACTTATTGACGTTTCATCATTTGAGGGAAGCTGAGTAACCATTCCTAAAGCAGATCCACGGGGCATTATCGTTGCCTTGTGAATTGGATGTGCACCGTCGGTGTTAAGGGCAACAATTGCATGGCCGCTCTCATGATAAGCAGTCAGCTGAAATTTTTACAACCATTAATAACATGTTTGAGGGTGCATCAATGGATTAATATTTTGTTAATCATTAAAAGGTTATTATTTGACAGATAAATACTTACTATTGCAGAGTGGTAAAGAGAGAAGAACACTTCATAATACCAGCAAAATCCAGTTATGCTAAATAAAATATACCGAAAAAATGCCCAAAAATTTGATAAAATATTTGTTTTGGAGCAACCAGCAGGTCAGATATTACTCTGGGATAATGATTTAAGGTACACGGAATATTTTTTACAAAAAAGTAAAAAGCAATTTATTTACCATATCAACCAAACTCACCAGCTAACAACGGATTTAGCAACTAACTAAGATGGGCATCCAATTTTCTATTTTCATAAATTTGAAAGATTGGTATTTTCTACAAGTATATGGAGTGGTCAAGTTGCCAAAATTTTCCTTCCAAGTATTATTAGTATTTTTTATGTTAAGCCCACATCAATCATAACCCTGTTGCGACCTCACAGCACGGGTTTACAACCATATGGAGAAGTCTGAAAATTTAAGATAATGTAGCAAAGAAGTTCCGTATTCAAAAAATTTAAAAGATAACAAGATTTGAAAATGTGATTGAAACCTATGGTTTACATCAGTTGAATAGATCACAGTTCTTAAGTATCAAACTAAGTTTCCTGACATATACTGATTCCTACACGTACCTTTTTTGACTCGTCGGATATGAACATTGTTTTCCGCTCTGTACCCATAATTATTCTGTCTTTTGCAAACTCCAACTGTGAAGCTGTTAATTTCTCTGCACCTTCAACCGCAGCTTTAATGGCAGCAATGTTCACCAGGTTTGCAAGATCTAGTTTATGCGAATATATAATTATAGAGAACATCATTCGGGGATTTGAAGAAGTATGATTCGCATTGATAGCAATTATGTCATGTCAAATATATTTAAATGAGTATCTCACCTGCCCCATTGAATCCTGGGGTACCACGAGCTATTGCTTTAATATCAACATTCTCGGCTGTAGGTTTATCTTGCAGGTAGAGTTCCAATATTTCTTGCCGACCACGTACATCTGGATTCGGTACAACAATCTGGAATTCAGAATTTGTTAGTCATCTTGAGCTATATTATATACAGATTAATTGGGTACAACAACCTGGATTGAAAGAGAAACTGGAAATTACTTTTAACCGATTTTTTGAATTATTTTCCTATGTCTCTTGCGATAGGACTTATTTTAATATTTTTACTGCTCTTCTCTCTTTTCATAAATTCATTTATAGCTGAAACAATGAATATAAGAACTTACATGTCGATCAAATCTACCAGGCCTCGTTAAAGCTGGATCAAGAATATCAGGTAGGTTTGTTGCAGCCATTAATATTATTCCCTATGGCATAAAAATTGATAAATAAGTTTGTAAAAGAAGACAAACAAGTTGCAACCTAAATTGTTGAAAAATACCTCATTCTGCTCAAACCCATCCATTTCAACGAGTAGTTGGTGCAATGTTTTCTTGGTGTGGCCCTCCCATTGTTTCCTGGTTGATCCAACAGCATCAATTTCATCAATGAAAATAATGCAAGGAGCCTACAAAAGATACAGGAGAAAAAACATTCCACAATCAGAAGCATATAAAAGTCATGTGTGTTAAGTAAACCATATAGGAGACTATTATGAGAGATCATCAACAAAAAGCAACAGACCTTCTTTTTGGCTGCTTGAAATAAGGACCTCACACGTCGAGCACCAACTCCAACAAACCTGAGCATGAAAAGAAATATGAACCCAAACATCCATAACAGCCAACATAATAAATTTTTCTTAGTGCAATGAAAGTGGCTACAGTATGCTTCATTTAGTGTAGGGTAGAGTAGAGTAGGCTCCATTTAGTGTTTATCCTCTCTGTTCAGCCATGGCAACTTCATCTCAGTCTTGATCATGATCATCTTTGATTCCTATTTACTAAAACTTTTATAAGTGTTTTAATATTTAGTTACTTCAAGTCGTAAGACTTAAACTTGTTTGTTTCGTTAACTTTTGTTGGAATGATGAATATTTTGTGAATATGAAGTTATTTGGTTAATTTTACAGTAACCATGTGTTTAAAGTGTTAATCATGTAATTTGTCCAAAAATATTCGAATAGGTATAGTTATCCAGGACTAACATAATAATAACATGTGCCCGCTACTCAACATAGTCTACCAAAAGAAGACTTACATCTCCTCAAATTCTGACCCTGCACGGTAGAAAAATGGAACCCCTGCTTCTCCAGCAATAGCCTTCAAGGTCCCAGATAAAGCAAACAAACAGATCATAATAATAATAATAATAATAATAATAATAATAATAATAATAATAATAATAATAATAATGAATTTCAATGGATTAATTCATAATGAACATTCCAATCAAGCCTGACTTTAGTTATAGCTCAGTGGAATTGTGCGTAGTGTAAAAAATATCAATGTCACAGACGAGAACCAGAGCCAGACTTAAGTCCTTCCAAGAACTTTCCAAAAATGTCAAAGAATTTAACTGACCTTGGCTAGCAGAGTTTTTCCAGTTCCAGGTGCCCCTGTCAGAAGAATCCCCTGAAAAGAGAACCATCTTAGTATGATTCATATACAAAATATTATAATAGCTAAATTGCACTAACTACCGAACATGATTTTTTATGCATATAAGGGAAGCATGACATTTTATTTCAAGAAAGGCTAGTTCATCTGCATAGCATGAAATAAAAAATAAGAATCCATAATATCATGATGACCAAAGCTTAACATGTTTGTTAGTATGCACAACACAGTGTGCATATATAGATGGACTTAATATGTAATGAGAAAAACAACCTAGTTACTAACAATTGAGTACCAATACATGTAAAGCATAAAGATATATGAACAAAACCATTAAGTAAATTTAAAACAAAAAGATCAATAACTTCTGTAGACCTTTGGCAACTTTCCTCCAAGGCGTGTAAATTTAGCTGGATTTTTTAGGTACTCCACAACTTCCTCAAGTTCTTGCTTTGCATCATCACAACCCTTCACATCCTTAAAAGTTTTTACATTCTGCAAGATGAGACAGAGAGATAAATATTAAAATTATGACTACATAATGGATGGCAGAATTTCTGATTTGGCTGTGTACGTATAAGCAAGACCTTCCATGTCATAAATAAGGAAACTAATATCTCACTGGATAGTATTAAATATATTCAAGGACAAATGGGGATGGTCAATTTTCCAACTTTATTGTTGACTGGCCGATGAAATAGTTAGTGATGGCATGATTAGCCGGTACTATCTTATTTGGATTAAAAAAATAATTGCTCGAGTATTACATCTATTATGCTATGCTATTGTTCACTAACCCATTGCATTTACAAATGTCTCATCCAAGATCTCGCTGACAACCCAAAATTCTTTTTAATACACACCTAAACTAATCATGTATTTTCCAAAAGAAAGAATTATTAAGATGTGGTTGGGCCTAATTCAATCCTACAAAACCGGCTTGTAGGGTGAGGATTGCCCCCACTTATAAACACATGTTCAGGCCATATATTGTCCGATGTGGGACTCTTAACACACTCCCTCACGCCCAGGACTAGACAACTGGAGCGTGGAAATAAATGGTGGATGGCCCACTGGATCTTAAACGAGGCTCTGATACCATATTAAGATGTGGTTAGGCCTAATTCAACCCTACAAAACCGGCTTGTAGGGTGAGGATTGCCCCCACTTATAAACACATGTTCAGGCCATATATTGCCCGATGTGGGACTCTTAACAAGAATAATCTATATGCCCCATTGTAATATTGTTATAGAAAATAAAAGTTTATCAGTAAAAACAGATTAAAGACCTTTTCTGGCATTACTTCCTTGTTTAACTCCTTGGGGGTATAGGAAGAACTTGAACCAACACCTGAAGAACCAATCCCACCCAAGCTTCCAATGTATTTTTGAAGTGCAGTAGCACCGATAAACCTGAAAAACATACATCAGGAACACAGGTATACAAAAGTCAAATAGTGGATGTTATACACAAGAGGGACAAAAAGAGATGAGATGGGGAAACCAGAGGCTCATACCAGACCAATCCAACAGCTACAGTAAACAAAATAGCTGAGATAATCTCTTGTGCAAAACGTGATTTGTTTGATACCTTTTGATCAACCTAAAAAAGTGAGGCGCCTTCATGAGATTCTGAGAAAAATCAAACAAAAGAATCTAGGATGCAAAAGGAAATTTGAATAATTTATTTATATAGTATATAAGTATAGGTTACCCACTCAAAGCATAAAGAAGGTTTTCTGATTAAAAAAATTACCATAACCACATGCAACGGCTGCTTCTCAGATATTCCAGGGTTAAGAAAAGTCTCATCTGTGTTACCTGATGCCCGTTGTTTCAACTCTTGCAGCTGAAAATATGTTTTTCATAAGTTTCCACATAATAATACAAGTAAATTATGAACTAATTATCAAATGAAGATGTTATTATGATCAGAAAAAAGCTCATGTTAACAAGAGGCAAAATTGGAAGAATCAATGGAATGGAGTCGTGGACAAGAACTATCTTTCAAGAGGTTCATAAATTATATCATGAATTCTAAGATAAGAACACAAATCAAATGTTCCGGATCCAGAAGCATATGACGGAGAAATACTACCTGATAATTTTGTATAAATATGAAAATAATGATTATCCAATTTTTTAGTAGAAAGAAAACCAGCAAATCCTTTTTCTTATTAGGTTTGCCAATGACATTGATCAAGCAATGTTATTATGTTTTGTACTCCTTACAAAAAAGAACCAACGTCATAATATTCTGTTTCTGTATTTCTGTCAAAATAGAACCAATCCTCAAAAAGTCAATTTAGATCAAGTCTAATTTAATAATTTCTCCTTCTATATAATTTATCAGTCACCATCTATCTCTAACTATAAGGTAACCTGCATTCTGTTCACTGTGACTACTTCGTCTTCTATTCATTATCTTTCTACATTGCTAAACCACCATGGGTTAGATTCAATTCTCTTTTCAACAGATTTTGTGCCACCCACAACTTTCTCTCATACATTCACCTCTCATCCTATCGTATATCTACACAATTGCTGCATTCTCATTTTATTAACATTGAGCTTATGCTCTTGCTGGTTTTAGGAACCAAAACTCAGCACCACACAGCAGTACAGCATACACTTCCTGTGGTTGCATGATAATAGAATTCTGAGCTAGAGAAACATTTTATATCACAATTATCACTAGACAACTTGAAGCATTTTTCCACCTCAGTCTCCCAACTTAAATCATGTCCTGATGTCCCCCTAATTTCTCCATCATATGGGATGGTAGTGTCATGAACAAAACAACTATCACAAAAGCATAAGGTAAAAACTAGAGCTAGGTCAATGACCTATTACAATAGACAGACATTTGTTAAGCCTTTTTGATCAAAACAGTTTCACAATACCTACACACACAAAAATATCCTAGATGACTCTTGTGGAAAATAAAATAAAAGATACACTTTTGAACAGACTAGTATCACCAAATAAATACAAAACAAAATGCCTAATTGCACTCTACCTCCACTAATGTACAATGAAGCGCGGTAATAATTCAGTAATAAAGACTGAAAATTGATTCAAAAGAACAAGAACGTGAAAATTTTAATTTCAAAGTGATTACCAAGGTAGGAAGACCAGAAGGTTTTCCAGATTCCTCATCAGGAAGATATTCTGCAATAGCATTAGTGACCACTAGTGCTCGAAGATATTCTGCGACTCCTCTGCTGTCCACAGCTCGATCCCTTTCTTCAAATCTCTTTATCACAGACTCGGGACTATTATAAATAAATGGAAATGAATATATCAGTGGGCTTATGATTGATCCAGCTCAAGAATTAGATTTAGAAACCCAGCAGTAAACAATTGTTAAGTTGATTTTAATTTATTTATGTTTTGAATTTTATTATGCTTTTCCAAGATGGTGTGGACAGTGTTACTAATCGTGGATCACCAAAAAACCTGATATGAGAAATAGCAGAGAGCATAGCAGGTAAATAAGGGAAGCCGCGTGGTTAAAATATAAATAAATGTATATAAAATAAAGCATGTAGCACAAAAAATAAAAGCTGCGTGAACATAAATTAAAAAAGTAACTGATATAACACACAAACTCCAATACATAATAGCGTAATAGCGGCGTTTTTAACAACATTGAAACGATTAGAAGAATTTGTTTAAACCCTCCAATACATTTTTTGAGTTCTCCTATATTAAGGGTTTGTGTTATGTTATGAAGAAAAATAAACTCTCCATTCAAGTTGGGGGATAATAGAGTAAATAGGGCTTAGTGCATGTTAGTAATGCCAACTGTATGTTGATGTATAACAATTCTAGTTGCTCTATATAAGAGCCTTTGTATTCTTTCATTGTTAACTATCAATATATGAAATACACACTTTGCTTTATCCTTTTCTCTCTTATGATACCCTATCATGGTATCTAGAGCTTTCCTTTTTCCGATCCAGTGACCTTGATCTATGGCGTCTCCGTTTCGCAATGACGGCACGTTTCCTTCTTCTCACGTTAAACTCTCACATCTTATTTCCGTCAAGCTTGATGATAAGAACTTCAAGCAATGGAAACAACAAATTGACGGTGTTGTTCGTGGCCACAAGCTTCAACGCTTCGTCACGGTTCCGGTGATTCCTCAACGTTCTCCTTCGACTTCCGATCCTAATCTTAGCGAGGTGAACGATGCATATCTTGATTGGAAACAACAAGATGCTCTTATTTGCACATGACTTCTCTCCACGATCTCTGATTCGCTGCTTCCAAAGCTCGTTGACTGCACACACGCGTGGCAGGTTTAGACGGAAGTACATCGTTACTTCGCCACGCTACTCACGATGAAAGCACGTCAGCTTTGCTCGGAATTGCGTCGTCTCTCCAAAGATACTCTCACTATTGAGTCATTCATGGTGCGTGTTCGTGAAATCAATGAATCCTTGATCTCAATTGGGGATCTTGTTCCTCTTCGTAACCTAATTGAGATAGTTCTTGATGCACTCCCTGAGGAATATGATTCTATTGTCGTTGTTGTTAATTGCAAGGAAGATCTTAGCTCTTTGGACGAACTCGAGTCTTGTCTCCTTGCACACGAATCGAGATTGGAAAAGCATCGCAAAGCGATCCTCACGAAACCAGTATCGATCAATTTGACGCAGGCTCTGCCGTCTGACTCGTCTTCTCCGGTGGAACCTTCGTCGCATGCTACAAAGTCGTTTCCCACTAGTACTAGTCACGTGACTGCTCATGCTGAAAAAACAATTACAACTCCAGAGGAGGTCGCTCTGGTCGTGGTGGTGGTCGTTTTGGCCGTGGCGGTGGCCGTTTTGGTAAGCCTCAATGTCAGATCTGTCACAAAAGTGGACATGATGCTTCTGTTTGTTATTACAGGTATTCGCAATCCACTTCTATGCAGTTATGCTTCTCCTAGACCAGCTGCATTCAGATCTTCTCTACCACAAGCATTTATGGCGTGTTCTGATCCAACCTTCAGCAATCAGTGGTGGTATCCTGATTCAGGTGCGTCACATCATGTTACACCTGATTCTTCTAATGTGTCTAATGCTCACTGTGATTGGCTCTGAGCAAGTATTCATGGGGAATGACCAAGGTATGTCTATCAACTCTATAGGTTCCATGAAGTTTACCTCACCTAACTCTCCTCACAAACCACTCACCCTACACAATTTACTCCTTGTACCTCACATCACCAAAAACCTTATCAGTGTTAGCAAATTTGCCCAAGACAATCAAGTTTTTTTTGAATTTCACCCTTACTTTTGTCTTGTTAAATCTCAGGCTTCTTCTGAGGTGCTTCTTCATGGAGTTGTAGAAGCTGATGGTTTATACAAGTTTCAAAGTCCCTCTTCTCAAGTGTCCAAGTCTCTCCCTAGTCTCAATTCTAGTGTAGCTCTAGGTTCAAATAATAGTAATCCTAGTACATCATGTAATACTTTACTTCATTCCAATGCCAATTGTATTACTGCTTGTACTCCTTCAGTTTCAATGAATAAAAGTGACTTTTTCTGTGCTAATTCACCTCTTGTTCATGCTACTACTTGTGCTAATTCTCAGTCTCTACAGCACCCTATTGTTTCTAATATTATTCCTAATAGCAAGTATGCCATGTGGCATACAAGGTTAGGACATCCACATTACCAAGCTCTTGCAGAGGTGCTGAAAACCTGTAATATTCCTATACCTCCTAAGTCTCAGGCTGAACTCTGTACTGCATGTTGTTTAGGGAAATCTCACAAACTGCCTACCTCTTTATCCACTACTGTGTATGCACAACCTTTTGAATTAGTGGTGTGTGACTTATGGGGACCAGCTCCCATACAGTCTTCAGGTGGTTACACCTATTTTTTGACACGTGTAGATGCCGTTTTCAGATTTGATTGGGTCTTCCCTTCGAGACTTAAATCTGACATACTCACTCAGTTTGTCCAATTCAAAACCATGGTTGAACTTCAATTCAACTGCAAAATTAAAGTTGTTCAGAGTGATGGAGGAGGTGAATTTAGGCCTTTCACCAAATATCTCAATACCCTTGGCATTACTCATAGGTTTACATGTCCTCATACCCATCATCAAAATGGCATAGTTGAACTTAAACATCTTCATATTGTAGAAACAGGTCTAACATTATTAGCTCACTCTAACTTACCTCTCAAATTTTGGGACCATGCCTTTGTCACAGATGCTTACCTAATTAATAGGTTACCTAGTGTGTCTCTTGCCAACCAGTCCCCTATTTCAAGCTTCTTAACAAAGTACCTGACTACTTTCATCTTAAAGTTTTTGGCTGTGCCTGTTTTCTGTTCCTTCGTCCCTATAACTCTCATAAGTTGGATTATCGGTCCCAAGAGTGCATATTTCTTGGCTATTCTACCATTCATAAGGGTTATAAGTGTCTTGCTGGTAATGGCCGCATTTACATTTAATGGAATGTTCTCTTTCATGAAACAAAATTTCCTTACTCCCTTCTATTTCCCTCTTCTTCCCCTGTTGCATCCACACACCCTCTTCTACTTCTTCTTCCTGGTCTATACCAGCAGTTCCTATGTCTGTTGTTCCTCTAACTCACGTCAATTCTATTCCTGCTACACCTACTGCATCTAGTCCTTGTAGCAGCCCTATTTCTGCTCCTATTAATTCTGCCAATTCTCCCATCATAACATCTCCCAACAATGCTTCCTCTACTTCTGCAAACTCTCCTTCCCACTCCCATTACTCCCTTTTCTCTCACCCCTCTTACATCTGATATTGCAGAGGCTAGCACCATTTCTCCTTTTTCTGTCCAGGAGAAGATTTCTCTTCCCAGCCCTGTTTCAGCCTCCCAACAACCCTCTATCCATCCCTATAATACTCATTCCATGCAAACTAGAGCCAAAAGTGGCATTATTAAGCCTAGACTTCACCCTACTCTTTTACTCATACATATGGAACCTACTTCAGTTGGTCAGGCTTTGGCTTCTCCCCATTGGTCTCAGGCCATGAAAGATGAATATCAGGCATTATTAAAGAATCAGACTTGGACCTTGGTGTCACCATCTGTTTCTAGGAAGCCAATTGGTTGCAAGTGGGTATTTAGGGTGAAGGAGAACCCCGATGGCTCCATTAACAAATACAAGGCCAGGTTGGTAGCTAAAGGCTTCCATCAGCAAGCTGACAGTGATTTTACAGAGACCTTTTCTCCTGTGGTAAAGCCTGTTACAGTCAGGACTGTCTTGACTCTTGCAGTTACTCACAAGTGGCCTATACAGCAGATTGATGTGAACAATGCCTTTTTAAATGGCACCCTTGAGGAGAAAGTTTATATGCAGCAGCCTCCTGGGTTTGAAGCTGCTGACAAGGCCCTTGTATGCAAGCTGAACAAAGCTATTTATGGGCTCAAGCTGCTCCTAGAGCCTGGTTTGACAAGCTTAAAGGTTCTTTACTGCATTAGGGTTTTCATGCTAGCAGATGTGATCCTAGTCTATTTCTCCTTCACACTGCAAGCTTAACCATAATGGTGCTAGTGTATGTTGATGATATTATCATCACTGGTAATTCTGCCTCCTTTATTACTGCATTAATAAAAAAATTGAATAGTGGTTTTTCTCTCAAACAGCTAAGCAAGTTGGACTATTTCCTTGGCATAGAGGTCACACACTTGCCAAATGGTTCACTCCTCTCTCAAGCTAAATACCTGACTGATTTGCTGACTAAGATTAACATGCTCAATGCTAATGGCATGCCTACTCCTATGGTGTCCACAAGTAAATTGTCTGAACTTGGTTCTGAAGCTATTTCTGATCCCACTCAATTCAGATCTGTTGTGGGGGCTCTTCAATATGCCACTCTCACCAGACCTGAAATTTCATTTTCTGTTAACAAGGTTTGCCAATTCTTATCTAATCCCTTGGAGGAGCATTGGAAGGCAATTAAAAGGATCTTGAGGCACCTCAGTGGCACTCTGCATCATGGCTTGCTGATTCAGCCTGCCTTACCCCATCAACCTCTATCTTTGCTTGGGTTCTGTGATGCTGATTGGGCATCAGACCCTGACGACAGAAGGTCTACCTCTGGAGCTTGTGTTTTTCTAGGTCCAAACTTGATTTCTTGGTGGTCTAAAAAGCAGCAGTTGGTAGCCAGGTCAAGTGCTGAGGCTGAGTACAGGAGTATGGCTCAGCTTGCTTCAGAAATCCTATGGGTGCAGTCCCTTCTTCAAGAACTTCATTGCAGAATTCATACTCCCAAACTCCTCTGTGACAACCTCAGTACAGTTACACTTGCTCATAATCCTGTGTTGCGCAATAGGACCAAGCATATGGAATTGGACATGTTCTTTGTCAGGGAAAAAGTGCTCTCCAAGAATCTCATAGTTGAGCATGTGTCAGCTCAAGATCAGTGGACAGACTTATTGACTAAGCCTCTTTCAGCAGCCAAATTTCTCCCTCTGCGTGACAAACTGAGAGTGTTCAACAAACTTAGTCTGCTTGATGCATCCTCAGTTTCTAAGGGGGAATAATAGAGTAAATAGGGCTTAGTGCATGTTAGTAATGCCAGTTGTATGCTGATGCGTAACAATTCTAGTTGCTCTATATAAGAGCCTTTGTATTCTTTCATTGTTAACTATCAATATATTAAATACACTTTACTTTATCCTTTTCTCTCTCATGATACTCTATCAGGGGACTATCATTCCTTTACTTTTCCTTTCTTCCTTACTTTACCCAAAACCCTCCCTTCCCCTCCTAAGCTCCCAAAACCCTGCCAGAGCAAATTGCGTCTTTGGAAAAGAATCAATCAATGAAGAAAACTGTTTTATTTTTTAGCTAGTTTCTCTTCCACTTCTCTTTCTTTTTCTAGAACCCTAATTTTCATAGTAGCAGTAAAAATCTTCCTAAAAACATATATAACCGAAAATTGAAAAACAAAAAACCTAAAAAAGAACTAGGTAGTACTATAGTGATTGTATAGCCTAGGTGAATTTTCCCTAATTTCAATTCTCCCAAGTAAATTCTTGCATGTACTACAATCAATTTTCAACAAGATTCAAATCCAATTTTCCAAACACAATGCAAAATGTAAAATCTTGTTGTATCTTATTCCTACACTACAAATTACAATCATTCATATTATAAAAAAAAATGATTGCAAATTCATAAAACCTGTGCTTATTGAGTTCAACAAACAGAGCAGTCTGCTTATCAGCATCCTGCCTATTCAAATCAGCTTCTGAAATCAACTTCGCCAACCATTTCTCCTGCCGCCAAAACGGCCACCAATCAAAAAACTCCGAAAACGCCCTCTCAACACGTTCTCTAGCTCTCACCCAAACTCCAATCAAGAACGCCAGTATCGGCAATCTCGAAACCTTCTTTTCACTTTCCAAACCCTCGAAAGCCTCGCCATCACCACTCTCGAATCGCGATTCATTTGAATTAGAATTCAAATCGTTTTCCGTTGAATTTATAAGCTCGACGTCAGCGGAATCAGGCTTTGGTTCGGGTAGGGTTGGGTTAGGGCTAGGGTTAGGGTTAGGATCGGAGTAGGGAGTAGTTGCGTCGGGTTGAAGTGTGCAGAGGAGAGGGGAAGGGAGGCGCGTGCGGAAGCGCGTGGGGTTGAAGGAGAAGTGGCGGTGAGGTTTACGAGTGGAGTGGTTGGGAATGAGGAATGGGAAGGGGGGTTTGAAGAGAAGAGAAGTTTGAAGTGTTGCCATGGTTTTTCCTTCCCTCTTTGTGGAAGGAAGTGATGGGAGGAAGAACAAGATGCACGTAATGTGAGGTACCTTATCCAAGAATGAAATTGGCGCCGGGTACAGATTTTTTGTGTACGTGTGAATTTTGAGATTTTATAACAAGTCTCACTAGGGTGTTATGGATTGATAATTAAGCATTTTGGGATTTTAAAATCCTTATTATTATTATTATTATAAACTCCTTTTTCATTTTAAATAAATTTTATATTTCAAAGGTGTGATGTAGAATGTTGATGGTGTTTTCTTATTTGAGTTTTATGTTAAATAAGGAGTTTCAATATTACTATGGTTAAGTTTCAGGCTATTTTTAGAGGTGAATGGCTGGAAAGGAATCATGAGTTTTAGATACTGAAGTGAAATTTAATCTTGTATTAGCATATTTTCTCATATTTAATGGTTCCTTTACACCACCGTTACTAACCAATTGGTGTCTCATATTAAAGATCTCTTTGAAAAGTAGATTTTTAGTCGGTCATCCATGTGTATCAGGAACCTAACTAAGTTGTTGATTATTTTGTATTTTTTAAGTGTTAGGATTATAGTTTTGTTTCTTTAACTTTGATTGTATGTAATTTTATGTGGCTTTTCTAGATTTTTTTTAATTTTTATTTTGTTCTTTTGTTTAGGATTTGCCCCTTTTATTCAACAAACGAAAAAAAATATAGACCATAAATTCTAATACTATTTAAAGTAATCGATGGTGTTTGTTCATATATATATATATATATATATATATATATATATATATATATATATATATATATATATATATATATATATATTAAGTAGGAGATTTTAAAATAAGAGATAAAAGAATTAAATATTAATCATTGAATTTGATAAATGATATTAATAAAGTCATGATAATAAATATTAATTAAAATTATTTATCAAATTCAATAGTTAGCATTCAATCATCTTAACTCTTATTTTAAAAATGCTCCTACTTAAACAAACAAATAATCATATATTTTTTGGTTGATGAATCAATCAATTGATAATTTTTAAGAATATTTTTTTTAATAGAATTTGTCTTACCTAAAACCATTCATCTAAGAATTTCAAAGAAATTTTCTTAATTAATATATTTTGTTGATTCATTATTATTACGAAAAGACAATCCTTCTATTAAATTCATCTATAATGACTCTTTCAAATTAAATTGATTATTTTCTTTTAATATTTTATCCATAATCTTTTATAACAATAGTGATCGAATCTAATTTGAAAGGATTGTTAAGTTCATAAGTTTCGAGTCGGACAGCGGTTGGATGTGAAATTGGGATACTTGTAAGACACTTCGATGTTAAAGTGAGGTTCAGAGTAATGTAAGCAAGTATGAGAAGGAGTATGAAAGAATGAATATCTAACTCTCTCAAATGAGATGGTATTTATAGTCCCCAACATTGGGTCAAGATCTCCATCGTTGGGCTGGGCAAGCAAGTCCAAGATGGAGACTGGCAGGTCCTACGTGCGTAGTGGAGGCCAGCACGTGGTCTCCAACATGGATGGACACCTCTAAATTATCAGGAGGATATGGATGCGGTCTTTTCGGAATCAAGAGGACTCTGTGATATTAGGAGGTGTTGAGAGTCATCCCTACGAGGAGGATGCTCGTGAGGTACTTATGTCCGTCGTGGACCCTCCCCGCCAGCTGTGAAGTTGTCCCTGAAGGACTTATCTTGGTCGACAAGAAGAGCGGGATATGCTCGCGAGGTCCTCCCGATCGTCTTTGGCCCTCCTCGTCATTCTTGGGGTTGTCCTTGTAAGGCAAAGCCATGTCGACCAGAAGAACGAGGTTACTGCCCGAGCTAGTTGACGACAGTCATTGTTAGTAGGTTATCCCACGTAACACAGTCGAATTGGGCCTTGTATGATGTTTGGGCCAAGTACAGGCCTAGTCCAGAATAGGATCCCCCCAAGTCATTACTCCTGGTGAAAGAGTTATGACTTAAATCCAACTTCTTCTTATGGCGAGCATAATTTAGTCGGGGATCCTTCCTCGCATCGAAGGAGGAAGTCATCGGTACGTGTGGTCACTCGGGAAAGGGTTGGAATTGGCTTCATAGGGAAGCAGTTCAGTCGTTCCTCGACTCGCGGGGAAGAGAAGGTTCGTAGGAGGTAGCCACGTGACGTGGTCTTTGGGATAGAAATAATGGCCTAGGGAGTAAGAGCCATTATGACCTGAGCGCATAGGCGGTGAGGAGAAGGGTGGTTTGTGTATTGTCTGATGCGATGCTTCGTATTCCAAGTCAGCCTTATAAATAACGCCTCAACGCTCATTTGCCACGTTCCAATTCTCGCGCTCTCTTTTCTCTCTGTCGCGTTTGGTTCTACCCTGTTTGCTATTTTCCTTCCACTGATGACGTCGTCGCAGCCTTCACCGCAAACTTTCCACATTCCCTGATCAAGTAAGTGTTTTCCAGTATCGACTTTTATTTACGATTTCTTTTTGATGAATCTTTGATGGATTTCGCTATCCCGGGGTTTTATCTTGGGGTTTTCATATATCCCTTCGTAATAATCGTGAATTTGCCCGTGAAATTCATCTGCACCCTGCTGAGTTTTGTGAATTTTCCTGTGAAGTTCATCTATTCTCTGCGGAATTCATGAACTTGCCTGAGAAATTCATTTGTTCTCCGCGAAATTCATGAATTTTCCCGAAAAATTCATATATTCCCCGTAGGATTCATGAGTTTGCTCGAAGGTTTTATCCAATACCCGTTGTATGCTTATGAATATTCGTTTTGTCTTCCTCCCTGTCGGGCAGTTGTATGAGGTGTGCTCAGCTACCTGTGGCGCTTATCATTTGTTTCTAACTGCACGAGGGTTCGTCGACCTGACTTGGGCGTAGCTATCCCATTTCACATGTGTTACAGTGGAAGGGTGGATTTGATTTAGCTATCGAATTCACTAGTTTCTTTTGCTTTTCATGTGAAATGGTCGAAACCCCCGAGCATATACAGGTCGAAGAAACAAGCGCATCCGACGAGAGCATCCATTTGGTCGACACGATCGATGACCCGTCATTATCCTGGGTCGGGCAAGAACCTCGAGGGATAACCTCGGTCTTCAATTATACTAGAAAGGAAACATATACTATTGTCGAGTACGGCGGCGACCAAGAAAGTTTCCGTCAGAACTTTGCGATCCTGCTACCGACTCCTACGGCCAGGATCTACTCGGAACTCGAGAAGGACCGTTTCCCCATGTACGAGGTCGTCTTTAGAGATTTAGGGCTCTGTCTTCCCTTTAGTGATTTTCATATGGGTGTGTTTAACCACTTGAACTTGGCGCCTTCTCAATTACACCCCAACGCGATCGCCTTTATCCAAGATTTTGAAATTACTTGCCGGTTCTTGAGGATCGGGGTGATGATTCCCTTATTCTTCAGGGTTTTCCACCTCCAACGACAGTCTAGGGGCAAAAAACACAATTAGGTTTCCTTCAAATAGTCGAAGAGGTTGTTTCGCATGTACATGGATTATGTTCGTGAATTTAAGGATAAATGGTACATTATGCAACCCTCGTCTCAGGCGGCCATGGATTATATGTTCGACCCGGCTTCTATCATGGATGAGGATGGGAAACTGTGTTACGATGAGGATAGGAACCCAGAGATTTGAAGACTCTCGAAATTCCCTATCCACTGGTGCTCGGGCCACTACGAGCATAGTCTCTGCCATTACTATACCCCCGCCAGCAGCATGAGTGTCGAATACGAAGAAGCTTTTGGTGTTCTCAATCGTTTCATCGACATGTTCTTTCCCTCGAGGTGGGTCACGAGGGAAGGAGATAGCATTCTTGATGAAGATAGAGAACCTACATTTGAGGCGGCTCGATCAACACTAAGGCGCTCGTCGAGTATCGTACCTACGGGAAAGAAATGAATCTTCTAGGTTTCTGACCCCGTGAATCTGTTGTATTTTTACTTCTTGATTTATTTGGCTATGTTCTTCTAATGAGGCTGACTCGAGGGTGTTATTTTTGTTTTTGCAGGTAATATGGTTGAGCACCGCGGACGACTTCTGAAGCTGACCCGGGAGAAGAAGAATCACAAAAGGTTGGTAAAGTCGCACCATCCCACAAGCCTTGGTTCAGCCTCAGAGCCGACCAGGGATGGGTCGAGCGGGTCGTCAGTTACTTGCAACGTCGTGCAGCATGCAGCCACATTGGGTAAGAAGAGAAGTCATCCTGAAGGTAGACTTGTAGACATAACTGATAAGGGGGTAACTGCTCGGGATGATAGGGTCTTCACCCTTCCCCCTTGCTTCGTCGGGAAAGATTTCTTCGAAGGTTTTCCTTTGACCATGTCTGATGGCAAAGCTGATGTCATCAGGCGTCTCGACGAGGAGGGTCAAAGGAAGCATCTGGTTTCTAGAATGGTCGTCCTGATGAAGGTCGCAGAGATGGTCGTTATGCTTGCAGCTGAGGGAGCCGGCTCTTCGGGCCTGGTGAAGGAACTGGAGTCGGAGAAGGTGTCTCTCCAGGCGAAAACGCATAAGTTAAAAACTACTCTCGAGCGAAGCGAGGATATGTTTTGAAGGCAGGATGACGGGTTGGCGACGGAGAAGGGAAAGGTAATCAAAGCCTGTGAGGAAAGAGATTCCCTGCTGCTCGAGACGCAACACATGGAGAAGAAGATCTCCGATTTAAAGGTCGGCATGCTGCACGTGGAAGGAGATCCCAAGGGAGTCGCTGATTTGCATACCCGTGCAGAGCTTGTTGCTCGGATTCAGGTCCTCGAGTCAGATTACGTAGATGCTTTGACCGACGGCTTTAAGACTGCATTGGTTTATCGGTATTAAATCCATGGCTCAACACCAACAGAGCCGGAGTTTTGTATCAGGTGATCAATGGCAGGGTGGTTCCTCCTCCTGATTCCCCTGAGGCATAGATCGAAGTGAGCACTCTACTGAGTGACTAGTGTTTCTCAGATAACTTGGTGTAGCGGTAGAAAT